TTTATAAACTCAAGAAACAATTTGAGCTTCCTGGCTATCTGGCTGAAAATTTAGAACAACTACCTGCAGATTTTATAAATTTAAAGTAGATGGATTAGTAAAGTGTGGATAAAAATGTAACAAATAGCAATTGTCTTTGTTTCTTCCAAGATATTATTTTCAAATCTACTTCAGGCTTTTACTTAGCTGTCACCAAGGAAGTATTACACAGTTTGCTAGATCATCCTGTACTAGAGCTGAATGATGAATGGAAAACAAAATAGAACTAGTCCATGAAATGACTTCATCACAGTGATTATTTTTTAACCACTTAAAGTTTATTTTATTCATGTGTCAGGTATTGTGCTATACTTTGATAGCCATTTTCACATTTAATCTTCTTAATAACTTCCTAAGGTAGGTATTACTATCTTCTATCAAATGAGATAGTCAAGGACCAATGCCAGGTCATGTTATGAATAATTGGTAAAGTGAGAAATCAAGTCAAAGTTTTAGGATTCCAAGGAATATCAATGTTTTAATATATTAACTGCAATTGAAAAAACTTGATAGAGTTTCTTTTTGGCAGTAGCTGTGAGAAATGGCATGTCTGTATATTTGCGTCATATATTTATTTAGATCACTAATTGTGTGCCTACAATTTCATTTGAGTGTCTATCCCTTAGTGACAATTTCTTCAGAAACATTCAGAAACAACTGTCTCCTTTTATTTTTTTTTAATATTTTTATTTATTTCTAGGAGAGAGAGAGAGAGAGAGAGAGAGATAGCGTGAAGAGGGGAGGGTCAGAGAGAGAGGGAGACACAGACTCCGAAATAAGCTCCAGGCTCTGAGCTGGCAGTCAGCACAGAGCCCGACGCGGGGCTCGAACCCACTACCGCGAGATCATGACCTAAGCGAAAGTCGGACGCTTAACCGACTAAGCCACTCAGGCGCCCCAACAACTGTCTCCTTTTAGCTTTGCCCACTGGTAATTCAGATAAAGTTCAGAAGCTTAGCTACCTAAGTCTTTCAACAGAAAGTGGTTTTATACTTTATTGAGTAATACACACCTTTTCCCCTCTCAAATTAAACAAATATATTTATTTTTTCTAACTAATAAATTGTCTATTTAAGTTAACTCATGTACCTGCTCTAAAGTGACTATAATCTGAAATTTCAGAGAAGAACTCTCAGAATCAGATCAGTGTACTCTGGTTGAACTTTGGATTTTCAGTTAATTGTGCTTAGCATGCAGCTCCGGTTGATAATCTTGTCTGTGTTGACACTTAAGTATCTGCTTAGTGATATCTTGCTGACAATTATAACAATTTTTGTAAGTAATAAACCAAATTTAGCTCCTGATAGTTTAAACTATTTAACTCTTATCATTAGCACTTCTCAAAAAATTATATTATCAACATCATTTTTTCATTTCCTAGCATTTTTGAAATGGGTAAACTTTTGTTCAAAATTAATGGCTCAAGGTATTATAAGCTATTCATGAACTAAATGAAAATCTGCAAGACTAGCTTACATTTTTAAAAATACATAGTGTAAATGTGGTCTTGTGCCCCATTCTCATACTGAATCAGGCTACATTAATAATAATCATAAATACCATTTGTGGCCATTCAATTGTTCCTTAAGTTAATATATTCAGTAGTATCATAGTTGGGATGATCAATGTTAAAACAGATTACTTTTCACAAGTTTTACTTTATATGTTGTGTGTTTCAAACCAGAGTCAAATGTATTACTCTTTTATTTTGAAGAATTCTGATGAGGCAAAAAGCATTATGTATAAATAGCATAATTCATCTGGACAGTTTATAATGTATAGAGATCTATAATTCATGAGATTTCTACTGTTTATTCCTGTTTGTTGGTGTTGTTTATCTACTATTTCTTTGAGAGGCTGGACTTCAGCTGTGAAATTTACTTGTGAAATTGTTTTACAACAGAAAATAACATGTCTTTACTTTCAGTATTCTATTCTTTGTACTACACTATGAAAAAGTGGACTAAAACCAGAATATTAAGGCCTCTTTTCTTTTTTCCCCTCAGGACAGCAAGGAAGTTATAATACAAAGAAAAATAAAAATAAGGAAAAAGATACTCATGAAGGCATAATTCAGATTCAGAAATCTGTCCTTGTCTGAAGCCTTACAACAGACACAGCATATAGGCGGGATCTTTAAGGGAGTCTCCTGTGTCATCAAGGGTCTAGATTACATCATCACTGACTTCATCTTTTCCATCTCCCAGTTTTAACGTCTCTCCTTTTCCAAAGGCTGCTGTAATTTATCCCATGGGTTCTCAAAATAAGTGACATTTAAAATAGAGACATGGCTTCTGTGTTTTCTTTATTGTCTTTGCCATCTGTCGATACCACACCTATTTGCAGTGATAACAGTACCTTCTGCTCCAGTTCTAATGAAAATGGTCTTTACATATCTAATGTTTTGTCAAGGATTTTTCTGATTTGTAAAATGAAACACTAATAATATATTTATGTTGCTTTAGTGCACAGTTTAATCAAAATGAACTTTGCTGAATTTATGAGACAAGAGCTATATTCAACATAAATTTGCCAGAAATGTTTTGCGTCATGCAATGATACTTCAACTATAATTTTATTTTTCTTCTTAGATCAGACTAGAGCAGCCCTTCCCTGAACATGTTTCAAAGACAAACAAAATTACAGTAGTTCTTACTTTCTAATATGTTCACTCCTTCAGTGTTTTGAATCCAGAAATGTTGAAGAGGCTAGTAAGTCCCAGCTAAGAATCATGTGCCAAGACATTCAGTGACTTTTGTTTTCTTTAAAGACATAGATAGTAAGAACAGGAAACAAGTTTTAGCTATTTGGGAGTGTTTCCTTAAAAAAAGTCTACAAGTCGCCACCTTGAAAATACGTGAATTATTTCAAATCGACTTTTATCCATCTGAAAGTAGGAAGGGACTTAAGACGTTTCAGCAGTTCTTAAATATGTCTGCCATGTGGTGCCAATTCAGATAGAAGTTGCAACTGGTTTGTACATATAGGTGGATTGGAAGGAACTTAACAGAAGACCATGAGGGAGAAGAAGGGAAAAATAGTTGGGGAGAGGGAGGGAGGCAAACCATGAGAGACTCTTGAATGCTGAGAACAAACTGAGGGCTGATGGGGGTGGGAAAGAAAGGAAGGGGGGTGATGGGCATGGGGGAGGGCACTTGTTGGGATGAGTACTGGGTGTTATATGGAAACCAATTTGACAATAAACTATTTAAGAAATAAAAAGAAGTTGTAACTGGTCTCTGGTAAAGAAGCTAAACTTACTCCTTTTCAGGGACTGTTCTTTAGTAAATCTTATAACTCCTTTGGTGTTAAAATAGCAATTTTAAGATAAAATTATGTGAAATTTGTTATTAATAAAAGTAAATTGTTATTACTTTTAATGTCCTCCCTTAACAAAATAAAAAGTTGGCAATTTATATTGGCTCCTTCACCTTTTTCCTGGAAATTTTACTGGGTCATAAAGCCCCAAATTAGTAAGCATTGATCTAATGGAGCTTCTGCCTTTCTACAGATAATTATTGAGTCCTTGGGGACTGATCATGAACATGACACACAAATGTTGAATGGAGCTTAGAGTCTAGTGATAGACACAAATGATGACATATAATGATTATATACAGTGGGATAAGTGCTTTTAGGGAGAAGGAATTCTGGAGCATATGAGCAGGGTACCTAGCCCCAGCTTGGGGAAGTCAGACAACGATCTTTGTAGGAAAAAGATACAAAATATGAAGAATAGTATCCATATTCTTTTTTATTTCCTCCCAGGTTTTGTGAGGAAAATAACTCCTTCAAGTACCTGCCTAGGTACTTGGAAAAGCAAACCAAAGTGTTGCTTAATCATCATAGAATTAGAGCAAACAGCTATAATTAGAGGCTGTTGAACTTTGGGGAAATAATCCTGTCCCAGCCAGTACAACAGTTCTTTAGTGGGCAGATATTAATTTCTCTAGAGACAGGTCAGTGGGATAACATTTTTAAGGTAAGAAGTGATATTCTCTTTTTCTGCCTATCTTTCTGAGAGTGAAACTTGCCTCACCTTCCTCCAGACCCTGAATTACGGTCTCAGGGAGTGTCAGGGAGAAAACTGGGAAGTCAGGAACCTCACCTCTCTGGTTTTGGTTTTCAAAACTCATCAGAGAGGATATATGTAGGTGCCTCTGGAAAAATCACAAGACAATGCCTGGGGCATAAAGCACTGAGGATGAAGGGGTATGTTCCTTGAGACTGAAATATTGTTCTCACAGGGTTGGGGAATGGAGGCCAGGGTACTAAGGAAATGGAGTCTCAAGGCGAACTGATAAAATTCAAGTTTGGAGGCTTCTAGGGAGAGAAGCCTTATATCGCCTCAGGATCTCGAGGAGGTGAAAGGACCGAGAAAAAAAAAACTGGAAATATGCATAGGGAGGGAACCTCAAATTCCCATGTGATCCAAAAGTAGTTAGGAGAGCCTCAAGACCTGGGGGCACTTGTGGAGAGAAACAAGGGCTGTACCGCTAACTGGAAGACCACGTGGGCTTCCCAATGCCTTGAGACTCCATAAGCATGACTGATATAGAACGGGTATGGCTGTACTAGTTGATAAATTATCAAAGTACTTTGCATTCACTGATAAATAGCCATTTACCCAGAATCACCTATCCTCCCCAAACCCAAGGATAATGCCTCAAATAGCAGAGGAGGCTCCAGGAAGCTGCATAAGCACTAATACCAGTATCTACATCCTTTCTGTTTGGTGTAATAGTTATCTATTGTTGTATATAACACTTCATTCCAAAAACTGGCAGCTTAAAGCAACAATAAACATTTGTTTTCTCACATAGTTTCTGTAGGTCAGGAATTTAGGCAAAGCTTAGCTGAGCTGCTCTGGCTAAACATAGATCATGAGTTTGCACTCACTACATCAGCTGAGTCTGAAGTCTTGAGAGGATGGAGGACCAGTCCTAAGATGTGTCACTCACATGACTTGCGAGTTGCAGGAGACTCCAGTTCCTCACTACGTGGATCTCTCTGTAAAGCTGCATGATTGTCTTCATGACATGGGGGCTTTCTTCTCCAGAGTGATCTAAGAGAGAGCAAAGCAGAAGCTACAATGTCTTTTATTACAGCTTCAAAAGTTATACTTCATCATTTCTGAAATATCTTATTGATAACATGGGTCACCCATATTCATTGTGGGAGGTGCCATGCATTGTGTGCTAAAGAGGAAGTGAAAATCATTGGGGACCATCTTGAAAGCTCCTATCACAGTCAGTGACCTTGCCCCATGGTTTGTTCGATATCTAAATATCACTTTCACACAAGTCAGAATAGCTTTGAAAAAGAAGACAGCAATGCAGGGGCAAATTCCAAACTGAGATTAAATTTTTGTCTTCTTCTAAGAAGGTACTCAAATAGAAACTGGGTTATATAAAAATGCATATTTTGTTCTTACAAACTTGATTCACAGCTTGTGTCCCATCTAACTGCTCCCTGAAAATAACTGCTAGAGTTTTCCTTTGTTCACCACTACTCTTTTGTTGCTTTGTTTCTTTAAAAGGTATATTCTTTCAATAACTTTGCTATTCATTTGACTTTGGAAAGCAGTGTGCCTCCTCCCATTAGGCACCAATTTCATTATATCATTCATTCTGGCAGGTGAATATATAAAGCACTTGCAATACCCTTTCTAGAAGGGCATCTGTGCAGCAGAGCAAATGCTAACTAGGACTGTCTTGGCATTCAGAAGGGTTGATGGCGAGGGTCTTTGGATTTATGCACCACTCATATTTCAGACCTATAATCAATTTTCTGTGTTTTGGGGGAAAGTATTAATAAAATTTGGCCTTACTTAAGTTTATTAACAAGCAATCATTAATGATAGTATGGCACCTACTCAGTGAATTATCAAGTGGCATCGTGAGTGCAGTATCTTTCGAATTCTCTAATACTTTATGGAGATCTTGAGTTATAAAACTTTAGAACTGCTGCCATTTTTCAGTTATACTATTATTCTTGGAAAGATGTTTAAAAATTCTAAATTACATGTATGTATTTGGAATCTGACTGAAAAAAGAAAGAAATATGAAATCCTAGGTAATTTATCAATGGCTGTAGCATAAATTCTAATACCAAGAAAAGAATGAATAATTCCTGATCAGTGTCTCATAAGACAACAAGCAAATTTTCAAGTCTCTGTGGGCTATATATAATATACCATTTTTTTCTTCAATACAAAGCAACCATTGCTGAGCTATTAATCATAAACTGGAAGATATTCTGTGGAGTTGAAATTAAATTTCCATGTCTAATAGCTATGTTAAACAGCTTTGGAGTCTAGCTAGTTTTTCAGGAGATTTACCTCTGAACAAAAATGGAAGATTACATCCAGAATGGAATAATAATAATAATGCCTCCTGTGGGGCTAATCTGCACTGTTAGAATCTTACTTCAAGAAAGAACTTGCTATTCAACTGCAAGGCGTTCAAGGAAGCTGACAGCCTTTAGTTATTAAAGCCTTCAAAATTTATCTCAGCCTCTGAGCAGGCAGCCCCTAGCCAACAACTGAGCTTGTGGTGGTCCTAGGGCCTTGTCATTTTTTGGCCAATGTAGGTTCTCCTCTGATGGGTATTCTTTGCTCAGAGCTTTTTTTTTTTTTTTTTTTTTTTTTTTTTTTTTTTTTTTTTTTTTTTTTTTTTTTTTTTTTTTTTTTTTTTTTTTTAATGATCAGGCTAATACTTTGTCAGATCTAAATCATGGCTCGAAGCTCTTTCTGTCTATTCTAACTTCCTACTCTTTTCTTTCATGGGCATCAAATATGCATCATGGTCTTAAAACTCTCCCCACCCAAGCTTTCCCTTCCCAGAGTAACAAAATGACGAAGCTATTTTTTACTAAGCTCCTACTCTGGGAAGCGGTATATCATAATTTGTTTGGGGGAGTTATTTAACCTCTCCAAAGTATTCCCTTATCTGCAAAGTGGGGTTGTTGTAAAAACTAAATAAAATAATTGACAAAGAGCAATTTGTAAAGGGCCTGATAGACAGTAAGTATTCAATAACTGGTATATAATTGTAGAGTATTATACCATACGTCAAACTCTGTGTCAGAAATTGTTTATTACTTGTAATACTTGTTATAATCAAGTATTAATATGCTCATTTGACATATGAGGAAACTAGGGTTCAATGAAGTTAAAATAACTTGCTCAAATTGCTTAATTACATAGCTAGAGTAGGCAACCTGGGTTTAGAGAGCAATGTAGACATGTGTTGGCAAATGATCCATTGCTGCTACCTTGGAATGTAATGAAACTCCACACCTTCTATAACATGGTATGTACAATTTGTAATTAATACAAACTACTTTGGGGACTTTCACAACTGTTAAGACTGTACACTTAATGCCACCACATATATGACATTAAAATCTGTCAATGGACTAAACATTTGTCTAAAAGCTTAGAAGAACGTGTATGTCACTGTCACTTTCTAATGAATACTAGTCAGTTATTCTTGTAGAATGGCTCTCAGTCTGGGTTTGTCTGATGTCTTCTCAAGATCAGATAGAGGTTATGTTTCATATTCTATAATCTTGCTATTGCTAGAAAACTGCATCAATTGAAAACCCCCTCCTTTGATGGCTGCAGCTCCCACCCAACCCATAGAAATGCTCAAACCCATTATTAAAAGATGCAAAGGAATCTGTAATGGAAGTATAATGGCAGAAGGAAGTTAAAATATTCTATTGCTCACAAAATTTCTAGTGAGGTGGCAGCAATTTGAACTGAGTTGCAGGTTTAAAGCACAATTTTATTGCTTCTTACCTCACAGTTCTAAGATAAAAAACCACAATGAGATATCACTTTATATCTGTCAGAACAATTAATCCCAAAAAGATAAGAAATAACAAGTGTTGACAAGATGTGAAGAAAAAGGAACACTTGTGCACTACTGGTAGGAATGTAAGTTGGTGCAGCTACTGTGGAAAACAGTATGGCAGTTTCCCCCAAATATTAAAAATACAATTACCACATGATCCAGTAATTCCACTACAGGGTATTTACCCAAAGAAAACAAAAACAATTCAAAAAGATATATGCACCCCTATGTTTATTGCAGCATTATTTACAATAGCTAAAATATGGAAGCAACTCAAGTGTCCATATATGGATGAGTAGATAAAGAAAATGCACAATTAGTGCTTGCTTCAGCAGCGCATTTACTAAGAAAATGCACAATTAATACACAAGTAATGATTTTTTATTACTTAGCCATAAAAAAGAATGACATTTTGCCATTTGTAACAACATAAATGGACCTAGAGACTATAATGCTAAGTGAAATAAGAAGAGAAAGGCAACCACCGTTATGATTTCACTCAAATGTGCAACTTAAGAAAGAACAAGCAAAGAAAAAAGGAAACAAGCAAAAAAGCAGACCCTTATATACAGAGAATAAATGGGTGCCTGCCAGAGAGGAGGTAATTAGGGGGATGGATGAAGTAGATAAAGGGGATTAAGAGTACACTTCTCATGATGAGCACTGAGTAATGTATAGAATTGTTGAGTCATTGTACTGTACACCTGAATAGAATATAACATTAAGCTAACTATACTTCAATTAAGAAAAAAGAATTTTAAGTAGAATTTAAAAATTATGTTACATAAGTTTAAAAAAACCATTTGAGGTTGTGCTATTTCTACAGGTATGAGATAGAAATGGATGAGGTTGGTAGAATGGATCTCGGGGAATGGGCAGTTTTCTTAGTGAAATTCTGCCAAGAAACCAGGCCTTTTCCCAAATAAATCCATGGAGTTCACCAAGAAAGCTCTTGTATGTGCAAAAATGCATATAATTTATGATCTGTAAGATAAGATGGACACTTTGTGCTCAGTGTTGCTACTGGTATTTAAGTCAATTCTAGCCAGTGGTGATCAGCATGACCATAGAGAGAAAAAGATGACCCATAGAGAGAAAAAGAGAGGAAATGAACTTGTGGCCTGATGGCAAGGGTAAGATACATCAGAACGACAGGTTTGAATAAACAGCTTAAGACACTTGTGGCTAGAGTGGTGCTAACAAATTACAGGAGAAACTGTAGAAAAACAAAAATTGTGTCTGTTAACAGAATAACATGTACTTAGAAAAAAATGTATCAGTTAATACTCAGTATATTGTTATGGGAATTTACCCATAATGCAATTTATTTATTATGAATAAATACTTTTTTGAACATTTTTTCAAGTAAAGAATCTAGTTATAGTTCTATTGTAGAAAATGAGGTCTAGATGGGCTCCAGAGACCATCAGGTCACCATAAGTTTGTAAAGACTCCTGGATGTTTGGTACCCAAAAAGGATGTTTACAAAACCATTTCTGCACAAGGACTGTTTCATATGCACAGATGTACGTGTATATCAGAACAGAATATGCACTTTGGGGAAATTAACTAAATATCATTTAAAACATGGACTCTTAAGTATGGTTATAAATCTCAAAAAAGTAACAGCTCTAATTTATTGCTCATGTGGGAAAAATTTTGGGTGTACTCTTTCTGGATGTACTTTCCTCTTCACTGTTACAACTATGGCACAAAGCAGTAATTATCAGTTTGTGAATTCCATTGTGAAAGGACCAAAGTGATCTCACTGAAAATGTTTCCCAGAGACTCTCCTTTATTTTCTAAAATAATATAATTGGGATGTAGAATGAACTGCTGGAACATTTAAAAAAATATATATTGCAAATGATGGCAAAGACGGAAAAACTAGAAGTGCTTAAATGCTACAATTGTGCCAGTAAAGAGGGTATTGGCTATCCTGCTTGGACAGACCATATTAGATTACATAATCTGTAAAAAATGTAATAAAAAACAATGTTCAGAAGATTCCTAAAACAACTCTGTTAATCTGGCTTTTGGTAAATAAAACCCTAAGGAGAACTTCCTTTCAAATGTGAATGTGTCACAGTGAAAATCTAGTGACATGGAATTAAGATGAAATAATATTTTCCCTTAAATACAAAGGGACTTATGGTTATGATTCACTAATTAGAAACAATAACATGATTTAAAAGCTATAGTAAATTTTATATGAAAGTTGTACTGAGGCTAATTGACTTTTATGGATAATTGTCATAGTAAATAGAAGTTATAAACTGTGCCACATAATGTGGGATATTTTAATTCACCATGATTAAGACATAGAAAACAGATAGTATATTCTAAATAAGTGATTTGATGATGATGATGGATATTGCAAACTCAATTAAAATGGCATTATGTTCCGTCCTGTTAAATGATGTCCATATTGTAAATGTCATAAGGTTTATTACTCTTAAGAAGTTGCTTTAGTCTTTCATAATGTCAGAAGATATTAATTGAATTAAGTAAACTTTCATCATGAAAGCACTCCAAAGTGCTTTGTGGGCCAATCGGGCTTAATAAATAGAGATTATCCCATCTCAAAGAAAATATAGGCTTATTCAAAGTTATTCTTTTCTGAATCGAGTTCATTCTGATGTATTATCATTCTAACTATTCAAACATGAGCTTGTCAAAAAAAGGAAAATCATACAATAATGTCACATAAAAAAGACACGTCATAGATGACAATCATGTGCTTTTTTCATTGTTTTACTGAGATCGTTAAATGAGATAGTATTTCCCATGGAGTTTAACATGGTATGATCCAATATTTGGCTGTTGGGATATTTCCTTGATATTTGTCACCAATGCTTGGGGAGCCTTCCGTCAGAGAAACAGAATTAAATTAAAAAAAATATTTTTTATATTTATTTATTTATTTTTTTTGAGAGACAGAGAGAGATAGAGCACGGACACAGAAGAGGCAGAGAGGGAGATACAGAATCCGAAGCAGGTTCCAGGCTCTGAGCTGTCAGCACAGAGCCCGACACTAGGCTCGAACCCACAACTGTGAGATCATGCCCTGAGCTGAAGTCAGCCGCTCAACTGACTGCGTCACCCAGGCGCCCCCGGAATTAAATATTAAAAAAATTTTTTTTAATGTTTTATTTATTTCTGAGAGAGAAAGAGAGAGAAAACGAGTGAGCATGAATACAGGAGGGTCAGAGAGAGAGGGAGATATAGAATTTGAAACAGCCTCCAGGCTCCGAGTTAGCTGTTAGCACAGAGCCTAACACGGGGCTCGAACTCACAAACTGTGAGATCATGACCTGAGCTGAAGTTGGATGCTTAACTGACTGAGCCACCCAGGCGCCCCTGGAATTAAATATTTTTAACATACATGAATGAAAGCTTCTTTTTCAAAGGAGAGGGTGAGAGGTAACATTTTGAAAGTATTTTATAAAAGTAAATTTATAGAAAGTACACTCTTATTTATATTCTCAGGGTTATGATTTTATCTATAGAAGATATTTCTTTCAATTTACATTTATAATTATATTATAAAATGTTAAAGAAGAATAAAAAGTCTCGTCACTGACATACCAGGTTTTTCCTGACTGTGCCTGAAGAGGGTATGTTTTATTAGACATATAAAATGTAACAACATATAAACACACATTTTCCCACTTCAGAGGGTACTATTGGTAAAAAAAATTCCCTTAAGTATATTTTTCTTGTGAAGATTTCATCTTTTATCTAGGATCTAAACAGCTGATCTCCTTCATATATATTTACCATTTTTGTTACCTACTCGTGGCAAGAACTTGAGCAAAACACCACTTCAGGGCATCAGATTAGGAAACATATACAATGTCCAATCATTTTCAAAGTACTGACATTATCCCATTAATGGGTTGCAACTAGTGTTTTCAGAAAATAAAATGAAACTAACTCAATTTGAATAGAAACTATAGAGGGCATGACACATTGTAAGGCTAGCTGGTAAATGTTTCAGTTTTATATATATTTATACATACTGTGTGATGTAAAATGTATTTCTTAATATGGACTGCAGGCAAAAAAACGTTTTAAAAATACAGTTTTAACAATTCGTAAATACTTTTTAAGTCTAAAATGAAATCATTCAAGTTTCCAGCTAAAAAATACTGAAAGTGACCTCCTTTAATACAGTGTCACATAGTTTATTGTCTGAGAGACAGTAGCAGCTAGTTACAAGGACATTTAGTTGAAATGACTGAGAACATTTACTCCCTTAATTCGTTGTAATTGTTAATATCCATTGTAAGTATTTAAAAGATACCTCTGGGCTTTCACCCCCTTAAAAAAATCCAACAAAATGTTGGGCATAAACAATTTAGTACAAATAGTAATTTGTAGATGTATGTCACAAATACATATACCACATACTGTGGTAAGTGGCTGGGCGATGTAAAACGGATAGGTATGGTCCCGAACTCACTATATTTATAATTTTTAGGAAAATATTAGATATAAAATGAGAACCTCCCATCTATGACCAAGGAGCAGAATTCATATGTTCACTACTATGAAATATTATCCTAACACTTACATGAGCTATTATTTTTTTGAGTATCTAATTCACTCATTCAACAAACATTTACCATATGCCAGGTGTTTTTCTAGGTTAAAATGACATAGCTAAAAATAACAAAGTCCATACTCTCAAAGAACTTAATTATGAAAAATACAGAAAATAAGTAAACAGAAAAAGTGATAAGTGTCATAATGATGCAAAAGGCATTAACTAGGAGCCACTTGTTATTGGATAGTCCAGAAAGGCCTCTTGATAAGTAGATAGTAATTTTAAAAGCAACTGAAATATGAATGACAAAAAGAAGACAGCCACTTGATCTGGAGATGAACATTCCAGGAAAAGGGGTAATGGGCAAATGCCAGACTCAAGGCAATTTGGCATGTTTGAGGAATAGGAAGTAGGTGAGAATGGCTTGGGTCTAGTGAAGAAAGACTGTTAGATGAGTTAAGAGATGTAGGAGAGAGCCAGACTGAGTAAAATCCTGTAAACTAGACTGAGGTGTTTACAGTATATTTTTATTGCCTGGGGGAGTCATTTGAGAGCCATAAGCGATCATGGAAGAGATGGTTGTGGCTTAGACTGAAGTAGTAGCAGTGGAGATGCAAATAGATTTTGGAAAAATTTTGGAAGTACAATATAGAATTCGCATACAGAGGACGAAGAATCAACAATACTTTATAAAATTTTAGTTTGTGCAACTAGGTGGACAGTTTCATTAATTGCAGTCGGGAAGGGCAAATTGGGTGGGGGCATGGTGGCAGGAATCCAGAATTCTGTTTGGGATATGCTAACTTAGAGATGCATGTTAGCTATCTAAATGAATATGTCAAAAAAGCCACACTAGGTTTCAGAGGAGAAGTTTTGGAGTCATCAGCATATTTATAAAGGACTGGTACCTCCATGAGAGTGTCATGCACTATTTTTTACTCTTGATAACAACTCAAAGTAGACATTTTCTTTTCATATAGATACAATTAACTTCTTTTTATAAATGAGCAACTCTGATGCTCAGCTGAAAGTCACATCCTGAAAGTCAACCAGCTACTAAATAGTGGAGCTTGGACTCAAATCTGTCTGATTGAGTCCTTGTTGTTTCCATTACACCAGGCTGTTTTATTGAAGAATTGGAATATGTGAATTTCTTTTATTTTTTAATTAAATGTTTAAATATTTATTTATTTTTGAAAGAGAGAGAGATGCAGAATGCAAGCAGGGGAGGGGCAGAGAGAGGGAGACACAGAATCGGAAGCAAGCTCCAGGCTCTGAGCTGGGGCCTGAACTCACAAACCGTGTGAGATCATGACCTGAGCTGAAATCAAAAGACTGAGGCTTAAGTGACTGAGCCACTCAGGCGCCCCAAATATGTGAATTTCTGAGTGGGGAGGGTTTTTAATTTTTCTGAATGAAGAGCTTCTAAAAGGTCCGTTTAGTTTGGAGAAAATGAAGCTTGTTCACAATCTACTCCAATTTTGTAAGTTCAATAGTCTTTTCTCTGTCCTTATATAACTTCTCTGTGGCAGGTGCCACTGATAGTTTTTTTTTTCTTTTTCAATTCTACTCTCTTGGCTTGTGGGACATGACTCTCATTTCTCCTTTCTCTTATCTTGATTGCCTCTTCTTCACTGACCATTTACTACAGCGATTTGTAGCCTTTTTTCCTCACTTTACATATTCTCTATGATTTTGTTTCCATTATTTTAAATACTAAATATATGCGTTTGAACTTATTTTTTTGCTTCTCCTCGGGACATTTCTTCCTAGCTCTAGTAAACTACGTCTAAAAGTGCTTGAAAGCAATGAGCTTGGTGGGAAAGGGTGAGGAAAAAAGAGGCCTTCCTTCCCCCCCCCCCCCGCCCCCCGCCTTTGAGACTACAGAGGAGCGACATGCAGGGACTCTGACGGTCTCATTCGTACATTTATTCAGTATTTCATTCATTCATTTAATTATAAGGAGTTACATATTGGCTGATCTTACGACTTTTCAAATCTAGAGTGGCAGACAGTGATCCAGCGTGGGACGAAGACATTCATGTGAACAGCAAGAAGTCCTCGGCCACACAAACCTTACGTATAAAGGTAGCATCCCAATTAGTCCCTCAAAGAGATTAAGAAAACATTTTGGAGCGTATCAGTTTAGCCGAACATTCAAAAGGCAATGGAAAGCAAATCCTGTTTAGGGAGTAGGAAGGTTGTGGACCATAAAGGTTTGGAGCAGAATGTTACGTTGCAGCAGTACACGAAGAGAACACGACACTGGGTTAGGGAGTGGGAAGAGAACGAATACGCCTGTGTAAAAAAAAAAAAAAGAAAAAAGAAAAAGAAAGGAAAAGGAAAGAAAAACTGGGTGTGGCGCACATTAAAAAACCCAGCATTTACTAAAACTCCCGGCGAAATAGTCACCTCAGCCCACGCCGACTCCCGCCTCCGGCGGCTAGCCATGGTGTCCTCAGAGTCCCGGAGCGCGGCTCGCCACCCAGCTTGCCCCGCCCTCTTCCCCAACAGCTCCTCCACTGAGCCGCGTGCACGTGCGCGGCGGAACCCGCCCCCTCCGCTCTCTCGGCCAATGAGAAATAGTGTCGTAATTCGGTACCACCCAGTCGTAGGTCACGTGACGGTGTTTCCCCTGCCTCCAGGTTCTGAGAAGATGGCGAAGGTCTCAGAGCTTTACGATGTCACTTGGGAAGGTAACTTGGGGCAGGGCGGGTGCGGAGAGACCAAAAGTCCTGGGAAGCGTTTCGGCAGCGCCCGTTGCCCGTGGAGACGTGGATTCTCCGGTCTGTCTTCTGCACTGGAGCTCTCTGGACGGGCCAAGTTGAGGTGGAGGTTGAGGCCGACCCCTTCCGTGGCCCAGTCACGGACTAGAATCCGCGATGTTACCCACCGCTTGTGCTCATCGATAGACTCAGGGACCCACATACCTCTGCGCAAGTACAATGGCCCAGGGAAGCTTCCTTTATAAAGCGGGAGGGACCTGGGTCTGTCACACTTTTAATAGTGGCTGCTGGGCGACGCAGAGGAAGCGAGATAGTTGCTTGCTGAAGCTTCCCAGCACCCAAGAAATACAGGGCCTGTAAGGCCCTTTATTCAGTGCTTTGTAAGGGTTACAACTCTGGAAAGGTCTGTGGAAGACTCATGAACAAATCCAATTCTTCTACATGCCGATTTACATTTTGTTCTCTCTGCAAACCGGTTTTCTGATTTCTCTTAATTATTCGCTGCCGCATTCCCCCTGAAAACACATTTATGCACATAACACAACTTTCTTAATTCCTGCCAGTAATCCCTGTTATGAAGGGGTAAAGAACTGGTTATCTCGAGCATATGCTCAAGTGTGGTAAGCTTCTTTCCCCATCTTACTTTAAGGTGGAGAGTGTACTTTAAATCTGGAAGAAGCCAGACTTTGAACCAATTCTATAAAAGAGATTTTCCCTTCTAAAAACTTCGGTGGGGAGCATGGCTAAGAGGAGAGCTAAGAGTTTCTCTAAGAAATAAGAGTTGTGTAATTGAAATTTATATTCCCAGCATTTAACAGACTGAAACAGCTTATTTGTTTAGTAAATGCTTCTTCAGATGTTTAAACAGTGACCTAATAACATGATGACTGAAAGCCATATTGACCATTTAATGGCGAATATATGACTATCCCAGTATTAAAAAATTGCAAACATATGGAAAAGAGTAAAATTCCTTTATACTTAAACCAAATTCAATAATTTATTACTGGTTTTGTGGCCTCTGGTGCAATGTGAACTTCAGTTATTTCTATTCTATTTGTATTTGGGCAATTCTTTATAATAAAAGTATTAAGTACTTAGTGCTAGATCTTGAATATATCGAATTAAAAAGCACACAGTCCCTACCTTCAAGGAGTTCACAGTCTAATGGAGAAGACAAACCTGTATATACATAGTTTTAAAAGGCTTGTGTCAGGATATTTAGTAGCCAGATGGTAAGATATGTGGCTGTTATTTTTAATGCTACTTTAAAAATGTTTCAAGTATTTCATACATTTTAGAAAGTGCTACTTTATTTTTTAAAAATTTCTTTTAATGTTTTATTTATTTCTGAGAGAGAGAGAGAGACAATGTGAGCAGGGGAGGTCAGAGAGAGAGGGAGACACAGAATCCGAAACAGGCTTCATGCTCTGAGCTGTCAGCACAGAGCCCTACGTGGGGCCTGAACCCATGAACCATGAGATCGTGATCTGAGCTGAAGTTGGACACTTAGCCGACTGAACCACCCAGGTGCCCCTAGAAAATGCTACTTTAAAGATATGTTTATCATGGGTTTATTAGATGGTAGGAACAAGTAGGTGTGTGTAACTATCATACCTACCAGCAGACAAATAACTTGGACCTTACCTTGTAGGCATTCTGAGGAGAAGTGATATAATTAGATTTAGAATTATAAATATTAACTACTTCACAAGTTTAAACAAAAAAGTAAACATTAAAGTGCTTTTAAACTATTAAGTTTTTATAAAAAGATAGGTTACGTCCTGTCTGTGTCTCCAGCTGTATCTTAAACTATTTACCCTCTTACTGTATGAGCTGGTTATGGTGGCTTTTGTTGAATTCCCTAAATGTCTTATGTTCCTCTTATCTTAGGGCTGGACAAATGTTATTTCTTCCATTAGGAGTGTTTCTCCCTTCTTGTCCTACACTTGCTACCATTATCCATTACCATTCCTCAGAATTCTCTTCATAGGCCACATACTTCAGAAAGCCTTCCTTGACTACCCTACCCCACTCCTCCACTAAAATTTTTTTAAAAAGAAAAAAAAAACAGCAAAAGCAACAAAATATACCCCTAGTCCTTTAACTCTGTGTCCTCATACTATTGAAGTACTTATTCAGTTTGTTAAGTTTTAGAATTTTGTCTCCTAGAATGAAGGGAGAAACCAGGCAGATCTTGTTCTTGTGCTAGACATTTTGGAGGAGATCAGTAATAACTTGTTGACTAAATGAATTGTTAATAACAGTAATAAACATGAACACATTTTTACAAAAAGACTGTAAGTCATTTTTCTAGTGTTGGAATAATTTCTGTAGTATCTTAGACTTAGGCAGCTTACTGTACTAATGGGATATATTTGCTTGTTTGTAAAATGAAGGTTTCACACCTTACCAGAACCACATTTCATTGAATAGCATCATGAATTAAAGCTTTGGAAATGACTTATTCAAAAAGTACTGTAATTCTTGTGATAGGAAAATTTATCAGGTCTATAAAAGATTCATATAGTAAGTCTAACACTCTTCATTTGGGATTTATAAAAAAAGTAGAATGTATAGTTAACTTATTCAGCCAGTTGAAAATTAATGATGTTTATTAGACAGAGAACTTACTACTTATGTGTTTGTAGGTAGAAAACTCAGATCATGATCTCATGGTTCATGGATTTGAGCCCTACATCAGGCTTTGTGTTGACATTACGTAGAGCTTGCTTGGAATTCTCTCTTTCTGCTCATACCCTCACTTGTGTGTGTGCTTTCTCTCTCTCAAAATAAATAATAAAAACATTTTTTAAAAGAAGAGTTGTTAAAAGAGTATAGTCAAGATTTTTGAAAATAGGATATATGGATAGGATGTCTAGCACAATGGCCTGTCATAGGCACTAAATGAATATTTGTTGAAAACATATTTATAAAAATGTTTGAAGAGATTTTAGTTGTTTATGCTATGTCTACTTTCTTTCGTTTTATTGAGTCCTTCAACCATAAATTGGTTTCATTCCCTATCATTCCAGTAGGGTTTCTAGGGTGACCTATTAACAGATCTAATGAATGTGGGTTTTTTTTTTTGTTTTTTTTTTTAACATCTATACTATATTTGTTGTTGTGGATCACTCCTTCCATGAAACATTCTTTCCTTGGTATCATAATAACATTAAGGGTCTCCTCCTTTTAGACCTTTCTTTTGTGAGTTTTCTATACCCATTTGGTCCTTGATTTTTGGTGTTCTTAATGGTTCATTTTTTAGCACTCTACTTAATCTTTTATCAATGGTTATTAAGCCTGAGATCAGTAGACTCCTGACTGATGGAAGGGTGTTTTATGTGGTCTTTGAATTACCTGAAATTATATGTAAAATTTAGTGTTATAAACATGTACATATTTCTGGGAAGAGAAAGTTCAAAGTTCTCATCAGCTTCAAAGAGTCCAAAACTAAATGCCTTCTTTGGGTAATCTTATCCATACCTAGCTTTAACTATTGGCCTATATACTAAATGACATGTTAATTAAGTACATGTCTACATGTCTGAGTACTTTGCACCACTGTTCCAGTTCTTGAGGATACAGTGCTAAATAAGATAGGCAGGGCCCCAGATCTCATGGAACATACCCTGAGACTTCACTTTTAAGCTAAAGATCCATATTTATGGATATATATATATATATATATATATATATATATATAACATATGTTTTCTGAAGGTAATTTTTTTTCAAGGTAAGACCTAGAAAGATAGTTTGGCCCTTTGAATGCTAGCCTAATTTGGGTGTCAACAAATGGGCAAGGGTGCAGTGTAATGGAACATAGCTGCAAAACACTAAGTAATTTATATCCCCAAGGCATTTACTCTTTTAAAATAATCTGCCAGGGTAAAAGTGAATGTGGGTTTAAGACTATGTAAGTGAACCATGGTATAGGGAATAGTGTTTGAATGAGTTTTGAGAACTCATGCTGTGGATCTAAAGTTAACATTTTATTATGTTGTGATATAATAAGGGATATGTATTTGGTCTTTGTCTCCAGTTCCTGTCACAGAGCCCCCAAACCCTTGAAATTTCCTGAATGATAGGGTTGATAGGGTTATATTTAGTCTTATTCCTGGGTTTCTGACACAAGAGCCTCTGAGACTTTTGGAGTTTCTAGAATAAAAGTATCTTTTTTGTATGCTAATGAGACGATCTATGGCTGGTTAGCTTCAGTTGAGGGCTGGTCAGCTTCAGTTGAGGGCTGGTCACCCAAAAAGACCAGGGTCCCTTATTAAAGATTGGAACTTTCAGTCTCATTCCTTGAGTTTCTGGGATGGGAGAGGATCTGGAGATAAGTCATGCTCGTGGAATGAAACCCTATAAACCCCCCTATAGGTTTTGGAGATCTTCCGGGTTGGTAAGCACATTCAGGTGCTGAGATGGTTATTAGCTTAGAAAAAGCATGGAAGTTCCTCTGCTTCCCCTCTCGTCCTTCACTTTGCATGTGTATCTCTTCCATTTTACTGTTCCTGCAGAGTAAGTGAGTTCTTATCAAAGTTATGTGAGTCATTCTAGCAAACCTGAAAAGGAGGTTGTGAGAACCCCAGACTTTATAGTGAGTTGGTCAGAAATAATGGTGGCCCTGACTTGTGATTGATGTGAAAGTGGGGCAGTTTTGTAGGACTGAGCCCTTAACTTGTGGAGTATGAATAATCTGCTTTTTTGTTTGTTCATATCCTCTTCAAAATTACAAGATTCAGTTCA